GTTGATGTTCTCTCATTGATGTTTCTATCTCTCCTTCTCCCTTCCTCTCACTCTAAAAATCAATAAAGAAAAAAATGTTTAAAAAAAATGGACTTCTTGCTCTTTCCCTATATCTGTTTTATTCTAAACAAAGATGAAATTGAAAGTTATATAAATGGAAGTTTTAATATTTTCTTCCTGCTTCAAGGATATACTCTCTGAATTATGTATGTTCCACTTTGGAGACCACTGACCTAGAGAAATCTTCACATATATGCCCCAAAGGATACATACAATAATATTCATTTAGGCAACCATATATTTTTTTTTTTTTGGTACATGCCCCTAGCGGGAACCAAACCCAGGATTCTGGTCCACAGGCCGAAGCTCCAACCGCTGAGCCAAACTGGCCAAGGCTAGGCAACAATTTTTTTAATAATGAAAAAATGGAAGCAATCTAAATGTCCATTAACAGGTAAATGGGTACAATTTTTAATATTCATTAAATAGCATATGTGTACTCAATGGAATGCCTTGGAGCAAATTAAAATAACTGGATTAGAGCTAACCAAATCACAATGAATAAATCTCAAAACACTGCAAAGGAAAAACGAAGTGATATGCATATATGAGACCACTTTAAAATACGAACCCTTGCCCTGGCCGGTTTGGCTCAGCGGTTAGAGCGTCGCCTGCGGTCCGGAGAGACCCGGGTTCAGTTCCTGCTAAGGGCACGTACCTCGGTTGCAGTTTGTCCCCGGCCCTGGTTGGTCGTGCGGGTGGCAGCCACTCGATGTGTCCCTTTCACGTCAATATTTCTCTCTCTCTCTCTCTCTCTCTCCCTCCCACTCTATCTGTGCAAAAAAATGGAAAAATGTCCTCGGGTGAGGATTTAAAAAAACAACAATAACAACAAAACAAATAAATAAAATACGAACCCTTGAAAATATGTTAAAGCAATCCTACATATTATTTATGGGCACAAACATACAAAAATAGTATATATGCATGCATAGCAATCAAAAACACCAAAGTCAGAGTAATGGTTACTCTGGGAAAATTGGGATTGAGGAGGGATCTGGAGCAAATGTGTTAAACTGCTAAGATTTAACAAAGCTTAGAGGTAGGTACTAAGTTAGATATAGAATATTCTGGCCCTGGCCGGTTTGGCTCAGCGGTTAGAGCGTCCGCCTGCGGTCCGGAGAGACCCGGGTTCGGTTCCTGCTAAGGGCATGTACCTTGGTTGCAGTTTGTCCCCGGCCCTGGTTGGTTGTGCGGGTGGCAGCCACTCGATGTGTCCCTTTCACATCGATGTTTCCCTCTCTCTCTCTTCCTCTCTCTCCCTCCCACTCTGTCTGTACAAAAAATGGAAAAATGTCCTCGGATGAGGATTAAAAAAAAAAAAAAAAGAATATTCTGAATACCTTTCTATGTGTTTAAATTATTATGTAACATTAAAATATTTAATAAAACAGATGAGAAAAAAGTTACCCCAAAGAAGATATGGGAGGAAAACTAGAAGGAAAAAGCCCAAATTATTTTATATCTACTTTGTACCAGAGCATTTCCAGTAGGAAATGAAGTGGTTTATATATATGATTATCTATAAGAATACTGAAAGGACCAAGAATTATGAAAGGCAGACCACCAGAGTGAATGAACCAAGAGCTAAAATATTCAAAAATAAGGGGGAGTGTCCTTGGGGGATATGTAGATGACAAGCTTAAGGTTTTTAGGGAAGAGAGAAGGGACAATTGTCTGGAAGGAGCAAGGAGGACAACAGCATACCTACTCCATGACAAGGCTCAGTGGGAGGAGGGATACAAAGGAAGCAGGGTCCTAGGAGAGAGCCATGTTTCCTTTAGAACAAGAGGAGAGGGTAAAGATACAGTGGATTTTGCTGATGACTTATGAGTTCTAGAGGGCTTTCATACATAAATCTGAATGGATTAATGAAAAGTGAGAATTAAAATGTGTCTAATGATTGTGTAAGCTGTGTAAAATGTAAAGTGCTACATGAATGTAAGGCATCATTACTACCTCTTTAACTACCTCAGTTGAGGAAACATCACTCTTCTTTCATGTTTTTCTTTACATTAATTTATATTTTCTAAGTTGACAATATTCTTTTCCAGCATTATTATTTTTTTCCCTTATGGTTCTGCTTACATTTGTACACATCTTTTCTAAAATCTGTTTGGGGAGAGAAAAATATTTTAAGCAAAACGCTGTCATGCAACTCTAATTGTATTATCTTATATTTTCTGCCTGCCTTAAACATGAATATAACACTGGAAAGATTTTTAGAGCCATTAGAGAATTTAAAGATAATGTAATCCAACCTTCTCACTTTACAACTGACCAGAGATTATGTGAGTTTGCCAAATTTAATTGGCTGGTTACTAGCAGAACCAGGGTGAGAATCTATGCTTCATATTTAACTTCCTTCTGTATTTCTTTGAAAACAGAAACATAGAAAGCACCGCTTAAAGGTGTACCATATTCTGTGGTTGAGTGCAGGTTCAGACATTAAACTACCCAAGTTCAAGCCTAAATCTACTTATTAGCTATGTGACCGGGGCCAAGTAATCCAACTACTCTGTGCCTCAGTTTCCTTATCTACAAAATGGAAGGCATAATCATATCTACTTCAAAGAGTACTTATAAGGATTAAATGAATTAATGTATTTAAAGCACATAACAGTGTTTGGCCTATAAAGAATTACCAGAAATCTAAGCTGTTGTTACTATTTAGCACACACTCTACTAGCTGCTGATATAACAGTGATTAACAGAGGTTGGGATTTTACCCACAGCTGTTTTTCTTTGGTCTAGAGTTTAAGAAACCAAAACAAAACCACAGTTAAGATAATGTTTTCAAATTTGGATATTTCACATAGAAATCTGAATTTCCAGTTTCTCTTGAAAAATGGAAGTTCTGACATCAGGCCAGAATTCTGATGTAGTAACAACCAGCTGGAGCTGCAAGCAGTTGTCCTCTTCAGTCCTCACTACTCGTGTAATGTATGTGCACGTACTCATGCCCTTCCAATTTCTATCTTTTTAAAATTATTTATTATTTTTATTTTAGAAAGAGAATTAAATTTTAAAAAATCCTCACCCGAGGATATTTTTCCATTAATTTTTTTCAGATAGAGAGGGAGGGAGGGAGAGGGGTAGAGAGAGGGATGGGGGGAGAGGAGAGAGAGAGACATCAATGTGAGAGACACGTTGATTGGTTGCCTCCTGCATTGAGGTACATGCTCTTGACTGGGAATCAAACCTGAGACTCTTTGGTCCAAGGGCTAATGCTCTAACCACTGAGCAAATCAGGTAGGGCCATCCTTTTTTAGAAATGCACTTTTTTAAAAAAAATTTTTATTTATTTTATTCCTCACCTGAGGACATGTTTTTATTGATTTTTAGAGAGAAAGAGGAAGGGGAGGGAGGGAGGGAGAGAGAGAGACATAAATCAGTTGCCTCCCTTACATGCCTAGACTGGGAATTGAACCCTCAACCTTTGGTGTACAGGATGACACTCCAACTAACTGAACCACTCGGCTAGGACTCCATTCTCCATCTTTTAACTTTACCTGTCTTACCACTGCATGTCTTTGAAATTGTATCCACTAAACAATACACAATATAGTGTGACAATTACAAAGTTGCAAAGTACAAAGTACAGAAGTAGCCTGAAAGAACATGAATGTGTACTGTATGGTGGAAGTGCTGCTGGTGATGTATGTTGTCAAGAAAGTGGCCTTGAAAAAGAAAAGGAGTCGAAGAAGGTTGCAGAGAGAATAAGATGTACAAAGACGTTGAAATGGAACATAGTTTGTGTGTTTAACAACTGATGGGTTCAGTTTTGAAGAGCATGGTAAGAAGAGGAGTAGACTGTCCCTAGATAATGAAAACCCCTTAGTTTGGATTTTACCCTGTAGGAGATGGATAGGCCTTGCAGTGTTTTCTGTCACTAAATTCTAAATCTAACTTTAATACAATTATGCCTGGACACCCTTACCATCCTCCATAAAATCTTTGGACCTCATGGTTGAGAATATAATGCTGTAAAATCCACAATATTCTATGAAATGTCTTTCAATACCAATTGGCATTTTAAGAAGAAGCTCTGTCTTTATAATAGAGAAAATACAGTTTTAGATTTGTCTGCAAATGAAGTTTCCTCATTTGTAAAATTCAGATAATAATAGCACCTCCCTCCTGGCTATTACATAAACTAAGAATTAAATTCAATATAACCCATGGACACCTGACACAGAGTAAAAGTGGTCAACTAATTTTAGTTATTATAATTGTGATCTTTACTGAATCTTCCTTGTGTATTATCCCTCTCACTGAGAAAACATTTAAGTCAATTAAGTATTTTTCATTGAAAACTGAAGTTAAATCAAAACTAGTGGCATCTTTGGGCTGTATTTGGCATAAATGTAAAATGTATTAGATGAAATGCCAAGATAAAACTTCCTTCTATGTTATTGATTGCAAGAGCTTCAAGAACAATGTAAACATTTTTGTGCAACATAGAAAGTGCAAGTTATCGTCTGCAGTTACTAATTCAATATAGTAGTTAATTAGTGGTAATAAAGGTGCTTAGGCATTAGAGACGTTTCTCCAGTTCCCCCAGGCTCAACAAGGAGGAAAAACACTTGGAAAAGACCTTTTCACAACCCACAGTAACATCCTAGATAGCTAGAGAGCTCAGACAATCACTTGGCGGGAAAAGAATAAATACAGACTAAATTCGCACAATCTGTTTCTGTTTAGTTTATAAACTGAGATTGAGTCTGTCAGCTTTCGTGCCTTGTGGGACTTGAAGTCCAGAGGGAAGAAGTGGTCAGGGCTCTTGAAGCTAGGCAGCCAGCAGCCCCTGCAGGTCTGAGCGGTAAGGACTGCAACTCCCGACAGACACTGCAGGGCCGTGCCGTAATTACGGGCAACCAACCGTACCTGAGCAGGGCAAGCCCCGCCCCCCTGCTCGGTGGACTGCCTCCACCAATGGCAGAGCTCCCAGTGCTGAGCCTCTGTGTTAGGTTGTGAGGCTCTGGCTGGAGGCGGGGAGGAGCGGAGGGGTTCAGAACGAGCTCGGCCGCTGGGTGGGTCGGGGCGTTTGGCGCGCCCTTCATTGAAGCGGCAGTGGCTGGGCTGGGCGCCGGGAGTGGGAAGCGACGGCGCGGCTGGAAAATGCCAGTCCATTCCCGTGGGGATAAGAAGGAGACAAACCATCATGATGAGATGGAGGTGGACTACGCCGAAAACGAGGGGAGCAGTTCCGAGGACGAGGACACAGAGAGCTCGTCGGTCTCCGAGGATGGGGATAGCTCAGGTGTGCAACCCTGCGGGGCTGGGACAGAGTCCTCGCGCGGGGCTAGCGACAGGCCGCTCTCTGCACGCCGGGCAGCTGCGTCCTGCTGGGAGAACGGGGCGGGGAGAGAGGGAAGGGGCGGAGACTGGCTCCCGGCCCTCGGCAGCACCCAGACGATCGCGGGACGCTGTCTGGCTCCAGGCGGGTCCCGGTTGGCTGGGCGGGGCTGGACGCCGGCCTGAGCTTGCCCAGCCTCGGGCTCTGTGCCGTCCTGCTCGCTGTGGGACCCGCCCTTGGGACCTCCGGATAGTGCCCCGGGCTATCCACGGAAGCAGGGAATGTCCCGCAGCTTGTCTGGGAGACTGGAAATAGCTCCTCTCTTCCCAAACCACAGATCTTTTCCCTTATTTTTCACCTCTGCAATACTTCTCAACATAGGTGGATTGTCGGGTCGAGCTTAGATTTGTACTGGGTCTTGTGTGGCTTAGAATTTAACCTCAGCGTTCATGTCAACCTGCCAGTCAGTGCTTGACATCAATCAGTGCTCCTGCGGGGGGCGGGGACAGGGGCTGACTTGGGAGCTATCCTGTTTACAGCATCTGAAGTTTTCAAGACTGGAAACAGCCCAACATCAGGGGTGATTTGGGATTCTTATGCGAATAAATTGGTTGATTTTTGGCAACTTTGAAATTCTCCAAATCTTTTATTTCCTGCAATCTTTTCCAACTTTGAGCTGTTTCAAGCGGTGTTTTTGTTTTTTGGCGTGGTCTCTGGGGTTGTGGGGGAACAGATTAACACTATAAATCAATTTTGCAAACTTTTAGGAATGGTTACTTAAAACAATAGAATTTGTGATTACTTGGATTTCTTTCTTTCTATCCATATGATGAGGATGAGACATTTTTTTCTTGGCCTGATATTGACCATGTAAAGTAAGGATTGATGAGTGTGTTATCACCTTAACACTCTTTTTAGGTTTCCCTTTCAAAGCAAATCTCTATGGACGTATGTAATTTCAATAAACAAATTAGCCATCCAAAAATAAGTATTTATGAGTGACAGCTTTGTGGAGTTCTGGGTACTATTCAGTGTGAGGTGTAAATAAAGTTATGATTTGATCTCAATTAAAGAGCTGTCATAAGTCACCACTTGATTAAATTGCCAAATGAATGCTTATAAACAATGCTGTAGGAATTCAGAAGTGGAGGTAGTCTTTTCAAAATAGGGTGGTCAGCTAGCTGAAGAAAGCTAGTTGAAGAAGGTGGGAGCTCCTTAATTATCTTGAAGAATGGATTGGGGTGGTAATGATCAGGTGTTTCAGTAGGAGGAAGAATGTAAGGAAAAGTGCAAAGGCTAGAACTTAAGCCCTTATTCAAAAGAGTGAGAAGATCATTTGGGTTGGGAGAAGGATCTGAGCTAGAAAAAGAAAAGGAAGGTATAGATGACAAAGATTTTTTAAAAAGTCGAAACAGAATTGATGAATGAAAAGAAGTTGGTGGTAGGATGAACAGAAGAGTCAAATTTGAGATGAAGATGGAAAATAGAGTTTTTCAGACATGTTGCTTTTGAAGTGACAAGTTAGAATGCCCAACTGACTCACGTCATCTGGTAAGCCTTGAAAGTAGGTGAGATTTCAAAAGTGAAAAAAACAGAGAAAGAACATCTAGACTGTTCCTAGATCTGTAAAACATTTTCTCTCCAAGTATTGTGTTTTTTATTTTTTATGGGAGTTAAGATCTCACAAAGTGACATCTATTGGTTAAAATTCTGCCTCTCTAGTATTTATTAACTGTTTCGACTTTTTAAAAAATTCTTTTTTTCTTGCCCTGGCCAGTTTGGCTCAGTGGTTGAGCATCGGCCTGCGGGGCAGAGAGTCCCGGGTTCGGTTCCCGCTAGGGGCATGTACCACCAAAACAACAACAACAACAACAAAAAACAATAAAAAAAAAAATTCTTTTTTTCTTTATTGATAGAGAAGAAGGGAGAGAGAGATAGAAACATCGATGAGAAAGAACATCAATTGGCTGTCTCCCGCATGCACCCCCGCTGGGGATCGGGCCCACAACCTGGGCATGTGCCCTGACCGGGAATGGAACCGGCGACCGACCTCTTGGTGCACGGTTGATGCTCAACTACTGAGCTACACCAGCTGGGCCTGTTTTGACTGTTAACTAGCTTTTGATCTATCCCAGAAAAACAATGGAAAACTTAATTTGTGAAAAACGTAATAATAAGTTGAACTATAAGTCAAATCTTTTAGGTGTAAAGAAATTGTAAAAATAAATTTTGCAGTTTTACTACTTATAAAAGTATATCTTTTCTACCATTAGTCTTACATGTTCAACTTCCACAGTTTTATTCTCCTCAAACCTTGGGGAGTGAGTCTTCTTGAGGGACCAAGTTTTAAATAGCTGAGGAGTAAGCTATTAAAAGCCAGACATAATTTAAATGTTTTAGAAGACTAAAAAAAGAATCATATACTTCCTTGCTATGTGAAAATAACAGAACATAATTTAACTCTTTCTCATAGTTTGACCTTTATTTGATTAATATCAAGGTGCAGATCATTTTATACAGACTGATGGTTGCGGGACTGGGTATAAAAGGTGAAGAGATTAAGATATATAAATTGGTAGTTATAAAATAGTCATAGGGATGTAAAATAGAAGGTAGGAAATATAGGCAATAATATTGTAATAACTATGTATGGTGCCAGGTGGGTACTGGAAATATCAGGGGAACACTTTGTAAGTATATAATTATCTAACCACTATGCCATACACCTAAAAGTAATATGGAATAATACTGAATGTTTTTTAAAAAATGATGTAGATTAATTGTATGCTTGCAGTTATTTTGATGTGTTGAATATATATGATGTAAAAATTGAAGATATGGAATAGAGGACAGCCCTGGTAATTAACAGTGTCTTTCTTAAAAAGTTTGATTCTTTCTAATTGACTGACAGTAATTTGGGGAGAGGGAACAATGGGAGTATAAGAATAATAGATGATATGCCTTAAACTTAAGAGTAATGCAAATAATGATTCAATGTGATGCCCAAGTCCTCACTGCTAATGTGAGATGAATTTATGAGCGGGAAAAGGTTGCCCCTAAGATGACCCGCCTACTTTGCAGGATGCCTGGGAGTTAAGATCTGCCCAGAAGAAAAATAAGAGTAATAGATAAACTATGGTGGGGTACCTCAGTTGGTTAGAGTGTCATCCTGATACGCCAAAATTACAGGTTCGATCCCTGGTCAGGGCACATATAAGAATCGACCAATAAATGCATAAATAAGTGGAACAACAAATTGATGTTGCTCGCCCTCTCCTTTCCTCTCTCTCTCTAAAATCAATAAGAAAGAAAAACTTACTGGTAGAAAACAAACCAAAAGTGGGTTGATTACTTTATAGTCATAGCTTAATATCAGTTCTTTAAAATGATTTAAAAATGAATAAAAAAAGGTCTAGATAGAGACTGCTGTAGTTTTAACTTTCATCTGTATTGTAGGTTAAAAGCTAATAGTGGAAATTATTTTGGATAAGTGTTTTTTTTCCTCTTACGGTTTAATGTATGCCCTGTATATTAACTTTATATTACAGTATTTTTTCTTTTATACCATTTAAATGAACATTCAAATAGATTTAGAACATAAAACTAATCTTTTATTTAATTAATTAATATTTTGATTTTGAGAGTTTGTTAAAGCCAGGGAAAGTGAAACAGGGAAGGGCATGGGATAGAAGAAGCGACAGGAGAGAGCCTAAGTGGGGCTTCTTTGGCTCACTAAGTCAGAGAAAAGGGTGCCTTGGAGGCAGGCTCAGGGGTTAGCCTGGGATGAGCTGCTGCTGTCCTTTGCTCCCCTGGGTGCAAGTCTCTTGGGGGCTTTTAGAGTTTAGGTGTTTCGTGCCTGTGGGAGAAGAAGAGGGGGATAGGAAAGGCATGAGCATGCTCCAGTGGGGAGAGCATACCTAATTTTATTTTTGATATTTGCCTTTTTATTAACAGAAATGGATGATGAAGATTGTGAAAGAAGAAGAATGGAATGTTTAGATGAAATGTCCAATCTTGAAAAACAGTTTACAGATCTCAAGGATCAGTAAGTAGTGATTTTAGAAGGTCATTGTCACTAAATCTCAACCATGTCACATGTATAGTAGCACAAGAGAAATTGTATTCACTCTGAACTGTTTTCTTCTATGTATGTTGTGAAACTGACTTATCTAAAAGAGACTTCTATTGTTTGCCTGCTTAAGATCTTATTAACTAAACTGAAGGTGTTGAGATAGGTTTTCGGGGGATATAATAAGATTTCTATGTGGACATTGTTAATTAAAATGTTTCCTTGGGTTTCTGCACGCTTGGGTCTAATCTGCTTTATTCATTCTTTTGCTAAATAATTGGGTAAAGGTAGCATTTAAAAAATTTGAGAATAGGATAGAATATTTCCCAAAGATGGCAGAGTAATTTTTGTTTATATCTTAAAATTGGATAGTACATACATGTTTTTACATACATTATTTAGTTTCCTTTCTGCAGCAACTCTGTAAGGTTGGAAGATAGTCTTTTTTTATTTTTATTTATTTATTTATTTATTTTTTTTATCCTCACCCGAGGACATTTTTTGTTCAGGTAGAGTGGGAGGGAGAGAGAGGGAGAGAGAAACATCGATGTGAAAGGGACACATCGAGTGGCTGCCACCCGCACGACCAACCATGGCCGGGGACAAACTGCAACCAAGGTACATGCCCTTAGCAGGAACCGAACCCGGGTCTCTCGGAACCACAGGCTGATGTTCTAACTGCTGAACCAAACCAGCCAGGGCTTGTTTTCATTTATTTATTTATTTATTTATTTATTTATTCATTTATTCATTTATTTATTTATTGGAAGATAGTCTTATCTCCATTTTACTTGTGTGAAAATTGATGCTCAGAGAGGTTAAGTCATTTGCCATAGTTCATCAGAGAGTGATAAATAAAGCCAGGCTTTCTGCCTCCTAGTAATAGCATATTTCTTCCACTAAAACACATTACTTTGGAGGAAATGTAGTGGAGTAGAAAGAACACAGGCTCCACATCCAGGCTTTCTCAACAGATTACAACAGTATAATAATAGCTTCTTTATCATTGAATGAGCAATGTATAAAATTTTTAGTCATTTGCTTGGCATGTAGTAGGTGCTTATTAGATATGCCCCCCCCCATACACCCCCTTTAAAATGCCAGAAATCTTCTGTGAAGTTGGTAATACAAGGATTTGGTTCCAGTGATTGGAAAAAACAAAATAGATGCAGATACAGATTTTTTTTAAAAATCTTAAAGGTGAACTTTCACTTTGGAACCTTCTGGCAAGGCCATGGGACATAGCTATGTATTAGGAATGTAAATGAAAGAGAGAAACTTCTGAGAATATAGATACCTTTCATGTGTGAAGGCTCTTCAGTGTGTGAATTCTTCATAATTTTGCTGCTTATTCTTTTCCCCCAACCACTTCCCTAGAGAAGCCCAAAGAAGAGATGAAAACCCATTTACTATCTGGAATTGCCAGACTAGAATGGGACAGGTTTGTTTACCATAGGAATCCTGCTATTTATGGAATTTCTGGTCTTTCACTGGTAGTAGAGATGAATGTATAGATAATGTTCCATGCTAGTGACCACATTAATGTAAGCAATTCAAAATCATCCAACGTTTAAAATTTTGGTTTTGAAAAACACAGTATCATTTACTTATTCTAACATTATTAATTTTAAATTAAAACTAGTTTAGCTTCTCAAAGAGTCTGTTATTTGGGAAACATGAAGAATTCATCCAGGATCATTCTGGAAAAGAGGAATATGTATTTTTCTATTTTAGCACAAGTAATCCATGAATGAATAATTCTCATACAATTACCTCAGATATATCTGTTAATCTTTTAAAGTTTATTTTATAGTTATCCAAGAAATGAAAATTACTCTAAAGCTCTAGTATATATATTACATAATAGTCGTTAAGCCTAATCTTCATCTTGGGGCTGGCAGTTGCCTTGATTTTTGCTTTCTCATGACTCACTATGACCACCAGCTAGTTACTCCTACCAGCTTCATTCAGCTCTGAAAGTATTAAAAGGAGACCCATTACCAATATTTAATAGGATTCCTTCTTAAAGAATTGGTATCTAGGAATATGTTCTAGAAAAAAAATTAATCGTTGTACCTGGTCTACAGTCGGCCCTTGTTTATCGCGGCTAATCAGTTCCAGACTCTACCGATAAATGGATTTCCGCGAAGTGTAGGGTTCTTTATCTACTATACAGTCGTCCCTCGCCACTTCGTACTTCGACTTTCGGGTCTTCACTCTATCGCGGTTTTTTCGCAGCGAAAGTCCAAGCGCCAAGAGGTGAGGGACGACTGTCTGCATACTTACGTTTTTGTTTTGCCCCATTGCCTTGTTTGCCATTTTTATCCTGTGTATCTTTGTAAGCTGTCTCAAATCCTCTTTAGAAAAGGTGGGAAATAAACTAATATAATAATAATAATAGTGATGATAGTAATATTAGTAATATGATTATCCTACTTCTCCTATTCTAACACCACAGGACACAATGACACTCCTTTCATAAGGCAGAAAGTTCACATTTGCAGATTATATAGTGGTGGAAGGTGAATTCTTCCACCTCCTTAAAAAGGCAGAGGAACGTATACCACCCGTTTCCATTCATTTCAGTATTCAGTGTCTAACAAACATTAATTATCTACTCTATGACTGGTATTGTTGCTGCTGAGGGACTCATGATCTTTGACTTTGATGAGTTTATACTTGAATTCTAAGGTTGTAGAAATTATACTGGTTTTGAGGAATCTGTTCTTTAAAAGGGTAGTTAATTGAATATTGTTAATTCACATATCCTCTTCATTCAAGATGCTGTTCACCTATTCAGGATACCTGATCAATGTTTTGTGTAAGTTTGATGTTTTTAGTTGCAGTCATCCTTTGTATCACATTTTTATCATTTTGCATCAAGTTGTATAGTAAGTCCTCACTTAACGTCATCGATCGGTTCTTTGACTTTAAGCAAAACAACATATAACAAAGCCAGTTTCACCACAGGCAAACTGATATAAACAAGTTAAGTTTCTACGGTATCATCAGCGTTATAACAAGAAGACATTGAACAAAACTGTTATTTGAGAATCTGCAGTATTTATAATTTCAAAAAGTATAAGTATCATGTTGTGCTTTTTGGATGTTACATATTTGTTTATCATTGTATTTTGAGTTTAGAAAAATGTAACCCAGACATGATACAGTATTATTTTGGCAGTTAACTCAGACTATTTTTCCCCTTTTTGTTTATTTTAAAGAATACTTATTGCATTAATACTCAAGCTTGCTTTATTCCTTCAGAATCTTTATATAAATCTCTATGCTAATTTAATGATCAGTTTTAGACAATATTGTCTTAATTGTATTGCTTTATATTTTCAAGAAGAAAAAGCAGAATTTTATGTGAAAGCCAAGTACCATGTTTTCAAAAGCTGACTTCTGATTATACTAACACCTCCAAGCTTAATCAGTGATTTCTTTGGGAAGTTACTACATGCATCCTTGTGACATATTATGACATATTCTTCACCTATGATAAAAGTAATACATGGCAAAAAAGACAAATTTACAAAATGACTTTATTTTTTATTTATTTATTAAAATTTTTTTTTTCTTTATTGATTTTTAGAGAGAGAGGAAGGGAGAAGGATATAGAGAGAGAAACATCGATGAGAGAGAACATCAATTGGCTGCATCCTGCATGCCCCCCACTGGAGATCTGACCCACAACCTGGGCATGTGCCCTGACCGGAATCGAACTGGTGACCTCCTGGTGCATGGATTGATGCTCAGCCACTGAGTCACACCGGCCGGGCCAAAATGATTTTAAATTGTTAATCTGCTTTGAAATTTTTAGGGTATCTTTAAAATGCTGCAAAACCAGGAATAGAAGTGCCTTTCGTAAAGAATGACAGTGTAAACCTTTTCCTGTTAAGAGAGTTATATTGTGCAGAATTATTTCCAAAAATAAACATTGAGTTGTCGTACATACTCCGTCTTTTATAAGTTAAAGGTATTGGTGTGACAGCTGGCAAATGAGAATATTTGTATGTGGACTCAAATACTGCAACAGGGATTCCCTGTCTCATTTTCATTTCCTATCCATGGAACAACTCATTTTGTTACAGCATCTTCAGTTGCAGTCTGGATGAACTGGGTATGCCAGATCACAGTTCTATAGTTTTGCTATTTTCTATTATATTATTGGTTTTACCTTCATCACTCTACTTCCTCTTTATTCTTTTAAAAAATCAAGTAGGCTAAATATTGTACTACTGACTCCTTTTCAAGAAAGGTGGAGAGATAAGCCAGGGGATTATTTTGACAGCTAGTAATGTCTCAAGTTGTTCAAAGTGATTTCTTTGTTTTTTTTCCAACTCAGTGCTTAAATGACCTTTTCTCTTAGAATCAATTTATTGTTATGCAATTAAAACAAACCCAAAAATCTAGAGTGCCAAAAAGTAGTTATTTCAGTTGTGGGTTTTTTTTATTTTTTTATTTTGTATTGTGAATTTACCATTAAAGAGTGACATATCTAAAAAAAAAAGATAGAAAAATATTTATTTTGTGATTAAGTACATAAAGTCAAATAATGTAATTGCGTTTTTAACTTGAGATCAAGGCAAAAATACATTTGGTAGGTTATTAGAATATGAATATTAGGAAGAGATAATGTATAGAAATGGTAACTTGTTAGCCTTTGTTGGGCTTTTTAAATTAATATCTTAATTTTTGCTTTGTTAAGACTTTATAAAGAACGATTAAGTCAGGTGGATGCAAAACTACAAGAAGTCATAGCTGGAAAAGCACCAGAATATTTGGAACCACTGGCAACTTTACAAGAAAATATGCAAATTCGTACAAAGGTAGCAGGTAGGAAAGTGAAACATCTTTTTCATATAGTAGAATATGAACTCTTCAGTAGATTTAAAAGGTGTTTGTCAAGTGAGCATTCGTTGTTAATGGAATCACAAATACATTTACACTGCTGACCACAGCAATTTAGTGTCAATCAGCCCACAGTTATTTATTAAATGCTTCTTGCTTTGCTCTGCTGCTGTGGGGTAGTTAAAAAAAAAAATCCATCAAGTTGCTCACAGTGTTACAGTGTTGTTGAGAAGATATTTGTACAAGTGAAACAATTAGGAACCATGATAGTTTTATTAAGAGATACTGTTACTATAGTTTAATTTCCTATTAGATAAATTAAAGTTCAATTTAAATAGTCTTAATAGTTTTCACCTGTAAGGATTTTTTAATTTATAAAAACATTAAAAAGTGTTTGGTCAAGAAATAGAGATCAGGGAATTAGCTTTCAAACAGATAATTTAATGGTAATTTTTGATTTTGATAAGATTATTTACTCATTTGTGGCTATTAATAAATGAAAATGTGCTATAGTATTTGTATGATAAATTTCACTCTTGTTTATAACTGGAATCCAACCTCAGAATTGTGTCCTAACACTTACAACAAGGGATGTATCCATTTAAAGATCACTTCAGTTTTTTAGTCAAACTAAAAACTGATTTTTATTTAATGAAGTTACTGATTGTTTTCTTTCCTCGGAGACTATTTGGTCCTCATGTACTTGTTATACCAAAGGCATTGTTGATAATAGTTTCTTTTTGTTTCCAAACTCACCTTAATCCAAATTTTATTCTTGAGTGCTTAATATTAAATATGTAGATGGTGTAATACTCAACTTGCTTGCTGTCTTTGCATATTGGTTTAGCACACCCTTAAAAGTAAACATGATTGTAATTTTCTTTGACGTTCTGAAAGAACTAACTGAGACTTACTGGATGTTTAGGAAATATTACTTAAGTCAATTATTTAATTTTCTACTCTGTGGCATTCCTTTAGTTTTTGATTGTATGAAGAGTAGGGTGTATGAATGTGTTGCTAATGGCATAGTTCAAGATATCTGTCTTTTGTCTTTACTATATGAGAAGGACTTACATTTCTAGGGCCAACTGTGGCATCGAGTTTAGTATATACATCTAGAGCTCTTTGTCATTTTTGTGATGGCATATATACATGGCCATATTGCCTTGGTACCTCTAAGTATACTCTTTTGATCATCCATCCTGTAGGTAAAGTCCCATCAGGAGCACTCAGATGACACAGATTTTGTTATATCAGTTTATACATTTAAACCTCTTGGAAGTTTTGGTCTCTAAAAATAAATAGTAGTTTAAAGATTGTGGTTTTGTTGGCTACAGTATCCATTGTTTGAGAATATATGATTCATGAAACCAGAGTGTATTGACTCTGTTTCCATTATGAGTCCTCAGAGATTGTTTTTCATAGGAAAAAAGTTTTATTTTCATTTTGATCATTCCCTCTCAAACATTTAGGAGTATTCTTTAGAAGAATGGGGTAAGAACTAAAATTTGCAGTGTAGTTTCTTTCTAGCCTTTAAACTCTTAGTTTTCTAGTCTTCTTTGATACATACATTAACTGAGCCTTTTTATTTTTAAATTTTAAAGATAAACTTAAAATTACTGGTCAATTTCTTCTTGATTCATCTTATAAAATACAGTTAGGACAATTTATGTAGGGAAGTGATAATGAAACTACGTGTTGCTAACAATCAGAATAATTGTGTTTGGTTGCAGGAATCTATAGAGAGCTCTGCTTAGAATCTGTAAAGAACAAATATGAATGTGAAATTCAAGCTTCTCGCCAGCATTGTGAGGTACTGTTATTTTGCTTAACCTTTAAGCTAATTTCATTTCTTCAAGACTCTTTGGAGTACAGAAATTAAAAATAAATAAAATAAGTAAAACAAAATTAAAATAGTACTTTAGCTCATCACTTGTGTGAATTTTTTAAAAAATTTGTACTGGAAGCTGTATTAGAAACGACATAAAGGAAGGATCATAGAAAAGAACTGAGAGAGATAATTTTAGAAGTTTCGCAGCTGTTACCTTACAGAGACTTTGTGTTGATTATGTCATCTGGCATCACTGAAAATATTAATATAATGTTCATTTTTAGCTTTATTTACAATAGGCAAGATCTGGAAACAGCCCATGTGCCCATCAGTAGATGAGTAGATAAAAAAAGCTGTGATACATCTACACAATGGAATACTACACAGCCATAAAAAAGAAGGAACCCTTACCTTTTGTAACAGCATGGATAGACCTGGAGATTATTATGCTAAGTGAAATAAGCTAGTCAGAGAAAGACAAATACCATATGATTCTACTTTTATGCCCACATCTTTGGACATAAATCTCTATTTGCAGCAAAAAATAGGCATATTTTTCTATATGTTCTGTTTATTTTGAATAGCATTTAAAAAACTAGTGGTAATTTTGCAGATAACTTCTCATAAAACCTACACAAGCCCAGCCAGTGTGGCTTAGTGGTTGAACATCGACCCATGCACTAAGAGATTGCCAGTTCAATTCCTGAGCAGGGCACATGCCCAGGTTGTGGGCCTGATCCCCACTGGGGGGCATGCAGGAGGTGGCCAATTGATGTTCTCTTTCATTGATGTTTCTGTCTCTATCCCTCTCCTTTCCTCTCTCTCTAAAATCAATAGAGAAAAAAAACCTACACAAGATCTTTTTCTTTTTTTTTAATATGTTTTTTTAGAGAGAGAATAAGGGAGAGAGAGATAGAAACATCTATGTGAGAGAGAAACAACAACTGGCTGCTTCCTACACACACCCTACTGAAGATCGCCTGCAAAACCCGGACATGTACCCTGACCGGGAATCGAACCCGGACCTCTCAGTCCATGGGACAATGCTCAATCCACTGAGTCATACTGGCCTGGCTAGACAAGATCTTAAGTATACTAGTGGAAATAAGAGGACAAGTTCTGTAATGATTCTTATCTTTAAACACAACATATCTTTAAAAATTATTAAAGTACTAAGAGTAGATAGGTATGAAAATCATGGAGTTTCTTGTTCTATTTTTCTGGGTACAACTAAAATAAAACATTTTTTGGACATTTACTGGCTTCTTGGATTTTTTTCCCCTAAGATGTGCCTTTATGTTGAGCTGTTAGTCTTTTCCCTCATTGATTGTAGAAGTTCATATATTCTGTGTATGAATGCCTTGCTGGTTATTTGTTCTGCAAATATTTTTACCCAGGTAGTAGAATGTCTTTTAACTCTTTTTTGATGACTTGATGAACAAAAGTATTACATTTTAACATAGTTGAAATTATCATCTTCCCTTTGTGATCTGTGCTTTTTGTTTCTTTTCTACTTTGAGGTAAAAAGATGTATTTTTCTTAAAAAGCTGAAAATTTGCTTTTTAACATTTTGATCGATAAATTACCTTTAATTACTTTTTGTGTGTGGTATAATGTATGGATCTAGTTTTATTTTTTGCACATGAATAGGTCATTTCAACCCTTTAAGTACTCCATTGTTTTCCCACTAATCATTAGCAGTTATAACTCTTTTTTATATCAAATGTCCATATATGTAAAGGCTGGTTTCTAGCTTTTTGCATTTGTTTCATTGGTCTGTTTAGTTGTTTCTGCACCAGTATATATATATATGTGTGTGTGTGTGTGTGTGTATATGTATATATATTTTTTCTTTCTTTATTGTTTAGAGAGAGAGGAAGGGAGAGAAAGATAGAAACATCAGTGAGAGAGAACATCAATTGGCCGCCTCCTGCATGCCCCCATTGGGGATTTGGCCCACAACCTGGGCATGTGCCCTGATCTGGAATCGAACTGGCAACTTCTTGGTGCATGGATCAACGCTCAACCACTGAGCCACACCGGCCAGGCCACAATATATTTTTTTTACAGCTTTCAATCTAGTAAGTTTTGATAACTTAATAACCTGATAATTTTACCTTGTTTTTTTTCTTCTCATAATTGTTATTGTTAAAAAAATTTTTTAATTGAATTTATTGGAGTGACACTGGTTGACAAAATTAAACAAGTTTTAGGTGTACAATTTTACAACACGTCATCTATACATGTATTATGTGTTCTCCACTCCAAGTCAAGTCTTCGTCCATCACCATTTATCCCCCCTATACTCTCCTCCACCTCTCTTCACCCCACCTCCTCCAGGCAGTCACCACCCTGTTGTCTGTGTTCATGAGTTTGTTCTCTTTTTTTTTTTCTTTTTTGCTCAATTCCCCCATGCAGCCCCTCCACCCCAGCTGTTAGCCTGCTCTCTATTAGTCTGTCTCTGTTTTGCTTGTTAGTACATTTTGTTCATTAGATTCCACATATGACTGAAATCATATAGTACTTACTTGTCTTTTTGAGACTGGCTTATATCACTTAGCATAATGCTCTCCAGGTCCATGCATGCTATCACAAAGGGTAAGGTTTCCTTTTTTTTATGGCTGAGTAGTATTCCATTGTGTAAATGTACCACAGCTTTTTTATCCACTCATCTACTGATGAGCACTTGGGTTGTTTCCAAATCTTGGCTACTATAAATAACACTGCAATGAACGTAGGAGTGCATATATTCTTTCAAATTAGTGTTTTGATTCTCTTCAGATACATTTCCAGATGTGAAATCACTAGATCATCAGACAGTTCCATTTTTAATTTTTTGAAATAACTCCATACTGCTTTCTACAGTGGCTGCACCAGTCTGCATTCCCACCAACAATGCACGAGGGTTCCCTTTTTTCCACATCCTTGCCAACACTTGTTTGTTGATTTGTTGACTCATAGCCATTCTGACAGGTGTGAGGTGATACCTCATTGTTATTTTAATTTGCATTTCTCTGATGGTTAGTGATGTTGAACATCTTTTCATGTCTGTTGTCCATCTGTATGTCCTCTTTGGAGAAGTGTTTATTCAGATCCTTTGCCTATTTTTTAATTGGATTGTTTATTTTTCTGGTGTTGAGTTGTAAAAACTTTTTGTTGTTTAGTAACATCTTTTAAAAATTACTTTTTATTTTCTGCTGCTATATAGAAACGTAGTTTTATATATCGATATTATATCCAACCTCATGTACCTCTCTTCTTAATTCTAAAAATTTCATTACAGATCCTTAGATTTTCCATGTAGATTATGTCATTTGTGAATAATGCCGTTTGCGTCTTTCAATCTGATCTTCCTCTTCCTTGTTTTACTTGTCTCACTGGCACTGACAGGCCCGCCAGCACAGCGTGGACTAGGAGCAGTGGAAGCAGATCAGCACTGTGTTCTTGATTTTACGGGAATGCTTCTAATAGTTTTTCAAAAAGTATATTTACTGTTGGGTTTGGGTTAATACTGTTTTTATTAAGTTAAGGAAATTTACTTTTATTTCTTGTTTTCTAAGAATTTTTACCATGAATAATTGTTAGATTTTATTAGATGCTTTGTCTGCATCTATTGAGTTAGTCATGTTTTTTTTCTCTTACTATATTAACATAGTGGCTTACATTATTAATGGATTTTCTAATGTTAAAACATCCTTGGATTCCTGGAATTATTATTTTTCTTGTGCGTAACCAGATTCATATACTAATGTTTTGTTTAGAAGCTTTATTTCTATGTTTATAAGTGAGATTCAATTTTTAAATCTCATACTGCCGTTAATTTGATACAAGATTTATAAAATGAGTTAGGAATATTCCATATTTTGCTCTTCCATAGAAGTGTATATTTAAGATTGCAGTCGTAAATTTCATTAGTGCTTAAGTATACCTTGTCTTTATGATATATTTTTTTAATAGTCTCATAAAAAAAGTTGCAAGAAAAGACAAAAGAACTTTTTGGCTGAAAATGAGAATGAGTTCATGACATGATGCCCTATCAATAAGTTACTATAGTCTAATTCTCAGGCTCCACCTAAGTTTTAGTGGTTGTCCCAGTAGCACCCTTCATAGCAAAGAGATCACATGTTGTAATCACATATTGTCTTTATCATTGCATTTAGTTATGTCTTTATAGCCTCCTTCAGTGAGGAACAGTAATACCTTGACTTTTGCGATCTTTCCATTTTTTAAGATTTTAGGTTAGTTATTTTGTAGAATGTTACTTAATTTCGAATTGATCTGCTATTTTCTTCATGATTAGAGTCAGGTTTTGCATCTTTGGTAGGAATATCACAGCAGTGATACCATGTTTTTCTCATTGAATTTTATCAAACAGTACACAATTTTGATATGTTCTGTTATTGGTGATGTACACTTCGATCCCTTGATTTAATTGGTGTCTTCCAGGTTTCTCTAAGTAAACTTTTTTTTTCTCATTGTGATTAAAAAGTATATAGGGGAGAAGTTGTTTGAAACTCTGTAAATATCTCATTCCTCATAATGCTTTCAATTATTTACTTATGAAAGTATAGACTCATTGTTTCCTTACTCATTTTTGTTTCTGCTTCATCTCTCAATTACTGAGGGAGGTATATCAATTTCTCTTTGTGATGGTAGATTTATTAATACCTCTTTGTATTTTCTTTTCTTTTTGTTGCTGGTTGTTTGTTTTGTTTTTTTTTCCTTGAATTTTCTAAGAAAATCCACATACTATTCCTTTCAAAACAGCAAAGTCATTCACTGTAAGATTTGGAGACCAAAGGTACTAATGATGAGATGCTCCACAGTGCACACCCACTGTCTCTGGTTCTTTTGATCAAAAAAGATGGTATAGTTTGAGACTGAATGCTCATGATTCCAGGCTCCCAGCTGAAATTTAACTCCCTTGGTATTTCTTTTATCTATATCTTTCTTTTTTAAATTGTGGTAAGAACACTTAACAT